GGTGTATGAAGAAGGCTCTCCTCCCCGTTTTTGCAAAATAATTATCTATGTGTCTTGTCAAAGTGGGATTGGAGGGGGGCAGGACGTGATACCCTACAACAGGAGGGAGAATATAGTTTGAGAGTTGCTTGCCTCTTTTGTTTGTTTTGAAGATCTTGACTTTTCATGGGTATTTCCTTACCTAAAGCAAATCTTAGTGCTGGACTGAGCTGATGTTCATTTGAAACTTCCAGTGCATCAGGCCCATGGATGAAATCTGCTGTTGGACCTTGAAGCTGTTGCTGTCACTGTCCCCAGAGAGAAACTAACTGAGCTCGGTAGATTTTCTTGATCCTAATGGAAGCTGTCTTTCTAGTTGGGAAGAAATCTTCTCTGTTGGGACAAGTCCATGACCTATTTTAGAGAGTCTTGTCTGTACAGAGTGGTTGCTGTTTTCTTAGAACAAGAAGCCATCTTCCAGGAGCTCCTTCTTTATTTTATTTCAATCATTTAGTTCTTTTAATTGTAAAATAACAGAATCTGAAGGAGAGGAGGCTGAAGCTCTCTATTTTGTATTTGTGTGTAAGGAACGGCAGAGGAAAATAATAGTTTTCTTTTTGTCATCAGATGAGTAATTGAAAAACTTCCAGCTGCTATAGTAACAGCAACACATTTGCCAGATGTCAATGAGCATATTTTAATCCTTCTCTTTTAATTTTCAAGCTATTGAAGAAAGTGTATGTAGGTGTGGCAGTCTTAATAGCTGCTTCAGCCCATAGCTACTTGGGTAGCCTAGGAAAAAACGGTGTAGTATCGCTGTTGGAGGGACTGTTGATTAAATTTATAGAAAAAGCTTTTCCCAGATGTTCTTACGGGGCAGGAGCCCATCCTGAAGATTTGTGTTTCTCTCCGAGACACTTTTATGATGTCCTATTGGGTATACGGCGCGTGCTCTTCCGTGTGTTAGATTGATTTGAGGTACTGTGACATTTTTCTTGGAAGGTGTATGAGCCAGGAAAGTAGAATGAAAAAGTTTTGGAGACTGGGCTTTCTGCCTGATACCAATTCTGTGTGGCTGTGCTGGACACTTAACGGGGAGCGGGAGTAAGATGTCCACAGAACTGTCCTGTCCCCTCTTGACACTGACTGTAAATGAGTTTAAGCTGAAGTGATAGATGTAGGGTGGAAGAGACTGTTTTTCTAGTTAAACATTTTAAACTGTCAGAGGAGGTGAAAAATGCGTTGTAGTCTTTCCTGTGGCCTTTTCCTCCAAAGAGTCTGTCATGCAAGAAAAGGACGGAAAATGTGCCCGGCGTGGATCAAGCCCTTAGCTTTTCCATGTTCGTTTGTTTTTATTGTAAGATAAACCTTTCATGTTTTATTGTTATGAAGTTAAAGCCTGGCCTAGAGGTGCTGATCTTTAGTAGAAACAGCTGCAGACTGCGTGTCCCCTGGTCAGGTGGGAGGCTCTTTGAAGCAACATGTTGCCTCTTTAAAAGGAAATTGAGCATGTGAGAACTTAAACCTGTAAAACTCATCAACAGCTCTGCCATTGTTTATCTCTGGTGTAACTTTATATAGAATTAAAGTGAAACGCGTTACTTTGCTTCCAAGGCAAGATGGTTTAGCTCCCCCTTGGTCCTGGAGACACAGGAAATGACCACATAACCACAAATACTTTCTAGTGGAATGAAGATGAGTGACAAACTATCCACAGAAATAGGTTCTTCACCAGATGGGCTAAGAAATTAAATGTAGCTAAAGCTTCTGGTTTTAACTTAAAACCAATGCTTAAACCTTAAAACCAAGTAGAAAAGAGCAAATGCTGTATATGTGCTGGCTGACGTGAGGGGGCAGATCTGAGCATTTCTTGTTGATTGGGTGTTGTGATCAGCAACAGTTTTCAGCATAGACTGTAGTCTGTTCCTCAGTAAGAAAAGGAATGAACCAAACCGCCTTTGGGATGCGGGAAGCTAAGGTACTTTTTTGGCCTCATTTCTCAAGTTGCCTTCTTGTACAGAAAACAAAAAGCCATTAGCTGTCAGATCTTCTCCTTCACTTCTCTGTAACATTTTCATTACTTAAAGCAAGGACCTAGATATCTTACCATCATCTTTTTAAACTAATCAGTCAC